AACCCTGGACCCAAAACCCTCACCTAACCCTGAACCCAAAACCCTAACCTAACCCTGAACCCAAAACCCTAACCTAACCCTAGACCCAAAACCCTAACCTAACCCCTAACCTAACCCTAGACCCAAAACCCTAACCTAACCTTGGACCCAAAACTCTAACCCTGAACCCAAAACCCTAACCTAACCCTGAACCCAAAACCCTAACCTAACCCTGGACCCAAAACCCTCACCGAACCCTGAACCCAAAACCCTCACCGAACCCTGAACCCAAAACCCTCACCTAAACACAACCCTAACCCCTTGGTGCCATGTACACAATCAGATGACCTCTGACCCTATATGGATCTGTATGGGGGAGGGACCTGTATGGGGAGGGACCTGTATGGGGGAGGGACCTGTATGGGTCACGTGTTACCTTGCTGGTGATGGTAGCATTGGAGGACGGTGACACCGGGGAGCTGGTGGCCTGAACAAAGAGATATTCGTTGTCTAGGAGAGGCCAGGACCCCTTCACGCTGCAGGTTTGGAAGTCACCCCTGAAAGTCCGCACATGGGGGTCCCCGAAGACCCCGCAGTGCACGTATCGGGGCTCGCTGCCATTCTTCTCGCGGTACACCTTCTCATAGTCACAGGCTTGTTTCATAGGTCCATCGGGTGGAGGAGGGGGAGGCGGCCTCCTCGGGGGGTGGGTGGGTCCCACCTTGGAACAGTTGAACTGGATCATGCGGTCCTCGATGATGTGTACGGCGGAGTGGTAGACCAGGTCCCCGCGGCAGGTCCGGGCCGTGTTACGGGTGCACTGGGAGTAGGAGCGCAGGGCGTTGCAGTGCGCCGCGTTCGCGTTGGAGGCCTGTGCGTTAGAATTGGCGGCAACATATTCCATGTTACATTTCACGATCTTGCACTGCGCGTCCGCTGCACAAAGGATGAAGGTGAACGTGTCAATAAAGTTTTCTCTCCTCCAGGACACAACATTCTATACATAGAGGAAATATTGTAATTCTGTCCATGCGGGACTGAGATTTACACTGCCCTGCTACACAGCTGAGCCAGGCTTATGGCCTGATGCTTCTCTGTTTTAGTTAAGCAGGTGACCTCCCTGCCCCCAGCCTGGGATTGGACAGTGAGGGAGCAGCAGAAGACTGATAAGTGATCACATGGCTTCCAATGTTGCCCCTCCCCCTCCCAGTCTGAGCTCTGCTGTGCAGAGGTTTATAGAAGGTGACTAAGATCAGCCTGACGCTCACATTCCTCCTCCATGGAGGACTTTCTATAACACCCCAATTACCCTCCTGAGTGATGAACATACCCCGTCTTCTGGATTGGGGAGGAGCATGTGACAGTGCGTCTGATTGGCTCTCAGCTGTCATATGGGGCGAGGAAAGTCCTCTGCCCTAACCCCTTCCCTGCTGACTGGTGACATCCTTCCCTGCTGACTGGTGACAACCTTCCCTGCTGCTTCCCTTCCCAGAATTATGAGATCCTCCATGCAGCTCCTCGCGTGGCCCTCGCGTGTCCTTACCGTGTTGATAGAACAGTAGAAGCAGAGCGGCCTTCAGGAGGACATTGGGGAAAGTTGTGGAGAGAAGACACCTGGAGGTCGGTCTACCCATCACCGTCCATTCACAGCCGCCGCGGGGGTCACTCTTCGGGGCTCATCCTCCACCTGCCGGTACAAAACCATTGATTGCCGGGACAGGAAATGGACAAAAGTGACAACAATTCAGTACGAAAGTCCTAAAGCAGCGAAACCCGAAATATATCCGAAATATCCCCGAAATATATCCGAAATATCCCCGAAATATATCCGAAATATCCCCGAAGTATATCCGAAATATCCCCGAAGTATCCTCGAAATATCCCCGAAATATATCCGAAATATCCCCGAAATATATCCGAAATATCCCCGAAATATCCTCGAAATATCCCCGAAATATCCTCGAAATATCCCCGAAATATCCCCGAAATATCCCAGAAATATATCCGAAATATATCCGAAATATCCCCGAAATATCCTCGAAATATCCCCGAAATATATCCGAAATATCCCCGAAATATATCCGAAATATCCCCGAAATATCCCCGAAATATCCCAGAAATATATCCGAAATATATCCGAAATATCCCCGAAATATCCTCGAAATATCCCCGAAATATATCCGAAATATCCCCGAAATATATCCGAAATATCCCCGAAATATCCCCGAAATATCCCCGAAATATCCTCGAAATATCCCCGAAATATATCCGAAATATATCCGAAATATATCCGAAATATCCCCCGAAATATATCCGAAATATTCCCGAAATATATCCGAAATATCCTCGAAATATCCCCGAAATATCCCCGAAATATATCCGAAATATATCCGAAATATATCCGAAATATCCCCGAAATATCCCCGAAATATCCCTGAAATATCCCCGAAATATATCCGAAATATATCCGAAATATCCCCGAAATATATCCGAAATATCCCCGAAATATATCTGAAATCTGAGATTCTGGGAGCGGACACTCTCTGTAGTTCCATCCAGCACCCCCGGGAAGAGATGATGACGGGGCCATCAGATGAACCCACAGAGGGGACGTTCAGAATTTTGGGACACAAAGCATCAGAACTTCCCAACCCCCGGCAGTGATTGGCACCTCAGCATTGCAGCGCCGGGGTCCGGGCTCAGACTCCCACCAGGGATCCTATCTGTGTGTCTATGGGTTCCTCCATGTAAAGGGATTCGGTCCTCCCGGGTCTTAGGAGAGTTCAGCAATGTCCTTTATGGGTTCTATCTCCGTTCCCTCCCTCAATATTGAGTGTTAGACACCCCCCCAGGTGTCATAGCCGACCCCCCCCCCTCATTATTC